AACCCACACAGGTGAGAGGCCATATCCCTGTGATACATGTGGGAAAAGTTTCAGACGAAGCAGTAATTTGTATGATCACATGAGAACTCACACAGGTGAGAGGCCATATCCCTGTGATACATGTGGGAAAAGTTTCAGTCGAAGCAATACTTTGTATATCCACATGAGAACCCACACAGGTGAGAAGCCATATCACTGTGATACATGTGGGAAAAGCTTCAGTCAAAGCAGTAATTTGTATATTCACAAGAAAACTCACACAGGTGAAAAACTGTTTGCTTGTGACACATGTGGCAAAAGCTTCACTGATAGAAGTACCTGGAAATACCACCTTATCACTCACACAGGTGAGAGGCCATATCCCTGTGATACATGTGGGAAAAGTTTTACTCGAAGCAGTCATTTGCATATTCACATGAGAACCCACACAGGTGAGAGGCCATATCCCTGTGATACATGTGGGAAAAGTTTTACTCGAAGCAGTCATTTGCATATTCACATGAGAACCCACACAGGTGAGAGGCCATATCCCTGTGATACATGTGGGAAACGTTTCAGTTCAAGCAGTCGTTTGTATATTCACAGGAGAATCCACACAGGTGAAAAGCTGTTTACGTGTGAAACATGTGGGAAAAGTTTCAGTCGAAGCAGTACTTTGTATATTCACAAGAAAACTCACACAGGTGAGAGGCCGTATACCTGTGATACATGTGGGAAAAGCTTCAGTCAAAAAAGTAGCTTGATGTGTCACAAGAAAACTCACACAGCTGAGAAGCCAGAGGCTCATAAAACGTTTTAGTGTGAGTAGGAATTTGATAGACTGCATGAGAACTCTCACAGGTTGTTTTCCAGAAATATCTGTCTTTTATGCTGTATTCCTGTTTGTGGTCACTGTTTTATTTGAGACTCAGAATCCCTCTGGCCCTTTCTGCCTGCTTTAGTCTGTAATGGTTTGTTTAGAGCACGTTGTTTCTTCTCATGCATTCATGTATTTTGTGATTTCATCCACTTGTTATTGTTTCAGCCTTCAGAGGTGATCCTAAAAACCTGCATCCTGATGTATGTATGACACACATTTTGGTTTACAAGGTTACAAAACTCGCAACTACACAATCTGATTTACAAGTACAAAATAAAAGTTCAGTTTTTTTAACTTTTCTCACGCAGCTTTATTTGCAGAAACCCCGTGTTGCATGTAACTTAAAGAAGTATATGTCTCTGGCCATTTCACTTTTAATCTCATCACGTGGTGGTATCTGGCAGTGCTCTTGTTTATGCTTAGATTAAATCTCCAGGGTCCATGCATACTCGCAGCAATATGTTAACATCCAGGCATCCATGAAAACCGAATTTATTAAATTTAACAAAGTTAGCCGGGAGTTAGCTCGCTAGCTTCCATCTAAGCATGATATAGCATGTTCTGACTGAGAGATTTCTGAATAAATTCAAACTTACAGCTCTGCTATCACTTCCAACATAAATGAAGACAGGAAACTAAACAGCAGTGATGTTTGTAGGGTTACTGAAGTTGGGCTAGCTGGTATATAATGTGCTACGTGATCGCTAGCGACACAGCTATGTTAGCACAACATAAACACAGTGAAGCTGGAGGATGAACGCCAACTTTTTCCACTCCATAAAAGTTAACGTGAGGGTTCTTCATGGTTAGAGACAAATGCAATCGCATGGCAGGATGCTGTAAACAGACCAAACTTCAGTCAGGAGAACAACTGAGATAATCCATCCATAATACGAGGTTAGTCATTAATATACTGCAACAACATGGGAATAGAGCCGCTGTAATAGAATACAGCATTGATGAATCAATGGTACAGAAGTGGAGGAAGCAAGAAGAATGAGCTAAGTAAAGTTTGACTCATCTGACTGTTTTGTTTCGCTTAAAGTGCCTTATAATCCAAAAAATACGGTATGTATAACACATAAAGGTGAACTGAAACTGGAGTCTGTTCCAAAGATGATTAAAACACTGTACTGTTGTGCATATCCTGGCCGAATTCATGATTTCTTAACCATTTTTCAGACAAGTTTTTCTTTCACTCATGGTTAGTGGTTGGCTGAAGACGTTTATTGTCAAACAACGGTGTTTACTCTTTAAATCACGATCACTACACAAATTACCCAAATGATCCTGATCAAAAGTTTACATACCTGGTGAGTGGGCCTGATGACATACACAGAACTTGACACAAAAGGGTTAGAATGGCTATGAAAGGTAACTGTAGAAAGGACCGTGACCCGATACACTGTTCCCCTGGTTCGGCACATACGTCCACCAGCTGTCTGGCGCTCTCCCGTCTCTGGTCTCCAACCACAATATAAAACTTCATTAGCTTGATCATGTCCACCTGTGTTGTGTCCTGTAATGACTGTACCATATTGCACCACTAGAGGGTGGTGTCATGAAATAAGAGTAAAGTGGAGTTGGTAAAATTTTAGAATATAGTTAAGATGGCTAACTGATAACTATGATGTAAAGTCTGTGCTGAAATCATTAAAGAGCACTATTCCTTGATGAGGACTGGTTCATTACCGGCCGCTGCTACATTTTGGCAGCGAGTAACCCTGCGTGGTTTTTCTGCTTAGTTTTTTGCTGAGTCATCGTGGCTGCAAACGTCCATCCACCGCCGATGTTTTTGCCTTGCCCTGGAGATCCTGCTTTGCCCTTCAACATGTGGATGCGTATGTTCAACAATTATTTGCTTGTGATCAATGCAACAGGGAATGCTTGGCCTGAAGCACGAAGAAGAGCTACTTTACTTCACTGCTTGGGAACAGAGGGACAAAGGATTTTCTACTCACTGCCAAATACAGGTGATACTTTCGCCTCTGCTGTTACTGAACAACACTTTTCAGCCAAGGTGAATGTTGTTGCTGATATCTCTGAACTGAGTTGCTTCTAAATGTGAGTTTGATGACAGGACAGAAGAAATGATGCGTGATCAGCTACATGTGTCTAGCCCCAGCATAAGAGAGACTCTTGCTTGAACCTCATTTGACGCTAACAACGGCCACAAAAAACAAAACCTTTGTACTGTTCAGTTTGTACTGCTGCCCCCCTCACATTCCTATTTAAGATTTTCTTTATTCAAGCACTAGTGTGTACATATATTTATATATATACACATACATACATACATACATACATACATACATACATACATACATACATACATACATACATACATACATATATATATTTAGTCAGTTAACTGAAAATCTTTTTTCTTTTACTACATCTTATTAATATTTTGCTCTTTACTATTTTTCTATTTTTTATTTTATTTTCTTCTACTGTACCATTCTGCTGAGTGACTGTCTTCTGCTCGTTAAAAAATACATTTCATTGCGATGATGACCCTGTGCTAACTTGCATATGACAAATAAAACTGAAACTGAGCTGCTGATTACAATTCAATAAACCGAGATACTTCAATAGATTGGTGGCTGTTTTATTCACATCCTGACCGCATGAGGCCACGGTGATAACAACCTCCACCTTCCTTTGAACCTCCTCATTAACAGCAGGTTTCCAACCTTATAAACAGTGTTTGCTCTTTGAACTGTCTTTATTTCACATTTCATATACAAGGCTCAGTACTACAGGCGCAAAAAATCGGTGTGCCATGGGTTCCCCAGTTTCACCCATTGTGGCTAATTTGGACATTCAGGAAGTAGCACTGGAGTACTGAAGTGCTCAGCAGCGGTGCTAGTTTCAGTCATTATGCAAATGTTCAGTTTTGTTGGAAGGTTGGGGAAACCTGCAGTCAGCTGAGGCTGAAGAAGTTACTTGGATGAGTTTCTCCAACTGAAAATGTCCAGTTGAACAGAATCTACTTTCTGTGGTAAAATAATCACGGTTTGTTCAGAATTGTCAAAGAGCTCAGGTTGTGTTCACATGCTGCCGAGTCCTCACTGAGCGGCCTCCACAGGTCTGAGTCTCTGCCTGAAAGTGCTGCGCTGGACATTTACCTGGGGTCAGAGGTCACAGTCTCCTCCTGTGACAGCAGATCTTTCTGCAGACAGACTGAGCAGCAAGCTTCATAGGATGTTCTCTAAACTTAGTAAGGATTCGGTCTTTTTACATCGGATGAAGAATCATCACCACATCATCCATTTCCCGTCCTACAGCTCACAGTGACACATCACCTATGAAAGCAACAGGTTGGCTAAATATTCATTAATGTTGTGACTCACATTTCATTCCATGAGCTGCTGTTCGTGGTTGAACTGAGAAAAGAAGTAACTGGTGTTAGGATGGTGGAGCGCAGAGGGGGCTTGGAGATGGTGAGTATAACTGGTATTTTGCTTACTTGTAGCCGGAGTGGAGCTTGGCTTTGAGGGAAAGGCGGTGAGTAGCCAGGTAGGTTATTGGTATGAGCTGGCTGACCTGAGCTCTGCTGTGTCCGAGAGACTGAGAGATGGGGGAGGGCAGGCAGGTAAGGATCAGAGAGGTTTCCAGACTGGAGAGATTGTCCCAGAGAAGCTGCAGCTGAAGGTAAGTGGCGTGGAGAGTCCAGGTGAGTGGTGGCACAGGACAACAACTTAAGTGAAGTACAAAGAGCCAATAGCATGGAACATGGAGCCAATTACCAACTTGAGGTAGCTGACAAACTGGCGGTGAAGGAGAGTCAACGCAGAGCTTAAATCCTCAAACTGATTACCCAGAATCAGCTCCAGGTGTGTGGGACTCTACTAAATCTGATGTTGACATAGGGTGAACCTTTCCTGTCTCGTCCTTTGCCTTCTGTACCGTGTTGACAGCCTCTGTGTAACTTATGTTGTGAACTACTTTAACTTGTTTGACCTCCATGGCCTTCTTTCTGACTTCACAACGCCCATAATTCTGTGCTGCCCCCCACAGTTACTGCATTTATCCTGTACACTATCCCCACATTCCTCACACCTGTGTTCACCTCCACACCTGGGGCACCTGTGTTTCCCCTTGCAAGCTGCAGCGATGTGCCCATATCTTTGACATTTATAGCACCCGAGGGGCAGGGGAACATATGCTCTAACAGGAAAGCTCATGCATCCTATTTGAACTCTATCTGGCAGGATAGCCTCCTGAATTCCAAAAGTGCTGACACGCTACCAGCCCTCTTCCCATTCATTGTTTTTAATAGTCTTTTACCCTGCTGACCTCACCACCATGAATAAACTGCTTGAGCTTTTCTAGATCCTCCTCTACTGCAATACCTATAATCTAAGAAGCCTTGGATGAACCGGGATGTTCGTCTCCTCCTGAAGGCCCGCAACACCGCCTTTAGGTCAGGAGATGCACACGCCTACAGCACAGCCAGGGCTAATCTAAAGAAGGGCATCAAAAGAGCCAAACACCATTACAAAAAGAAGGTAGAAGAACACTTCTCCAACTCCAACCCCCGACACATGTGGCAAGGACTCCAGACCATCACAGACTACAGGACCACCAAACCCTCCCCCGCATCCTCTGATGTCTCCTTCCTCAACGAGCTCAACAACTTTTATGCTCGTTTTGAGCGAGGGAACGCCAGAACCACAACCAAAGCAGACGTGACGCCAGACCACCAACCTCTGACTCTCTCCCCCACCGATGTAGGAGCGGTGCTGAGCAGGATCAACGTCCACAAGGCTGCAGGCCCTGATGGCATCCCCGGGCGTGTTCTCAGAGCGTGTTCTGGGGAGCTTGCAGGAGTGCTCACAGACATATTCAACCTGTCCTTGGCCCACGCTGTGGTACCGGCCTGCTTCAAATCCACCTCCATCGTCCCGATACCCAAAAACTCCAACCCATCTTGCCTCAATGATTACCACCCAGTAGCACTCACCCCCATCAACAACAACAACAACAACAACAATCTTTATTTATAGAGCACATTAAAAGCCAGGGGCATGCCAAAGTGCTTTACATAAAACAATAAAACAATAAAATGATTTACACTAAAACATCAGAGTCATATAAGTGTGGGATTATGTTCACAGGTAAAAACCACTAATAGGAATAATCTATAGCACACAGCTATAGCAGAGTAAAGCTGTACCATCATACACAGTGATAGAAAACATTGACAGCGCAGGACAACACAAAACAACCAGACACATTAATAGAATAACTCACAGAAGCGAGGCGAGAATTTAACTAGTAGAAAAAGCAAGTTCAAACAAATATGTTTTAAGCCGTGATTTAAAAGATTGAATAGAATCAGACGCCCGGATGCCAATCGGGAGATTGTTCCACAGCTCAGGTGCAGCTAGAGCAAACGCTCGATCACCTCTAGACTTCAAGCGAGATCTGGGCTGAACCAACAATGACTGTGAGGAGGATCTTAAGGCCCTCGTAGGAAGATATGAATGTAAGAGTTCCTTAAGATAACTTGGCCCTGTGTTATTAGTAATTTTAAAAGTAAACAA